AATCTTGAGACCTGTAGGGTGTCCTAGGGCCACCTCCTTCGGGTGTCAAACCATGGTCTTCCTTCGCGCCTCCTTTTGCCGCCTTAGCGCCTCGATGGAACACTGAAGCAGCGCTCCGCCACTCGCCCGAATGTTTGTGTGTCCAAAGCCAGTAACTCCAGTGAAGGTCCAAAAGTGTGGAATTCCAAGCACAGTAACTCCACTTGCACCATTGGCGCAATGCCTCCTTGTTCGCTTCCACAAGCTCTTGGATCTCTTTTTGGACCTGCACAGGGCCCCAGGCCACGCCCAGGCCGGGGAGCGAGTTCAACTAATCCAAGCCTCATCGCTAATCTCAGGATTTCGCCGCAATTCCATCTCCCACACACGGCTATTCTGTCGCAGGGCTTCAAGAAGAGCCTGGATGGGGGAGGGCTGTGACACGGACAAATAAGGCCTAAAAAACTATTTGCCATCTCGCTGACTGGCGCCTGGCAGCCCAACTCCCCAATCCCCTTGTAGTCGAGATCAACCGTTTCAACGCTGCGGTTTTCGCGGAGCATTGCTGCCAGCGCCTCGGTCGTCCGTCGGGCTGCGACGCACCAACACGATCGGAGTTGCACCAACACGATCGGCCTGCGCGCCAGCGTCGCCAAGGTCCTCGATTGGGTGAAGAGAGACTACGGGCTGGTCAAGCATAATAACCTGATTATTGGTGTGTCTGAGGTACTCCGCCAGGACCTGCAGGGATAAGGAGGCAGGGGAAAAGACCGCAAAGACATTGCAAATGCAAACGCGCCGGTTCGAGAAAACGGTTTAAATACAAAGTTGCCACGTAAAAACCCTGCGCGCGTGTTTTCATATGATGGGTGGGACGGGAATGGTAGTCAAGAGAATTGGCTAGTGAGGTTATCGGCAGGGTCGCCAACTAACAGGATGGAGCCCACTAGCCCGAATGCACACATGAATGAAAACACAAGCAGCTAATCTTTGTCTGACACTCTTGCTGTACATGTACTTATTTGACCCTCGCCACAAGCACTTCTATACTTGATGGACATACTCTTCTAGGACAACTTTGCGCGACATTCTTGCTTGGAACCTTAAATTAGCAACGCCCTCAGTAGGACGCTCTTGTCGCACAATCTTGCAGGACACCTTTGAGCGGCACTTTTGCTTGACACTCTCGCAGCGCATCTTGTCGCGCAATATTGCGGGACACTCTTGTAGGACACGCTTGCAGGACTCCAGGACACACTTGTGGCACTTTTGGCAACAAAGCAGCAAACCTGGTTGATGATTGCCACCACAAAGTGCATGTGCTCACCAGCGACACGCCGCGTTTACACACGCATGCTTCCTGCACTTGCCGCGCCTTCCCGCGTCTAACAAAATTTACACCGCGCCACACCTTTGGATTGATTTCGGCCTGTTGCTGCTCGACCCCGCTCCCTCAAACAATCACAAGTTTTGCCTGAGACCTGTCTGCAAAGCAAGCGCTTGAAGAGCAAATCCCAATGGCACAGCGGCTCAAAATGCTGATCTCACGAGACGCTGCGCTTGTGCAGCGAAATCGCCCTCCACACTTGAACGTGTTACGTTTCTGCGCTATTTAATCCACACAAATCTGTCACAAACCTCCTTCTATCGCAGGGCCTTATCGATCACATTTGGACAATGGCAAAAGGTTGCGAAAGCAACGTCACGCCAACGCAGCTCTCGCATCGATCAATGAGAATCCTTTGTGAGGGGCGACTCCTGGACAACTGACGGTTTCCTTTACCGTAGTTGGGGTGAAGAGTGTGACTGGGCAGTGTGATTGGAGTATTTTTCATTCATTCTGGCTGCGCTTTACAGGGCATAGGGCGAGAAGGGGCAAGTTCTTGTGCAACATTTTTAGCAGAAGGCCTTTTCCCACTCAGAAATGGACTCACCTTGATGCGAGGCTCAGATGGAAAGGCTGATGCCTTCTTGGGCCCGTCATTCTCTGTCTCTGCTGATGCCTTCTTGGGCCCGTCATTCTCTGTCTCTGCAGTTCTGGCCTCAAAATGCAATGTGAGGTGGTGAACAAAATGAAGCCACATAAAGACTCCGAAGGCCTTGAAGAAGACATTCCAGAAGCGCTTGAAGGCATTCTGCCAGAGTGCCGAGCAACAATCCCAAATCATACCACTTACACACTTCCAACTTTCAGCTGCAAATAACTTATATCTGACAAATTGCATAATACTTCAAACAATGTTGAAATGTCCAAACATGTCACATGTCCAAACACTTTCCAAACCTCAAAATATATTGAGGCAACTCACAAAAGCGTCCTTCAGCAAATACAATCAATGGCCTGCACCACTCCGGCTTGGTTGGCCGCCACGATCTTCTCAACTTTGACTAGCACCTCCGGATCTGCATCAATCTCATAACGAATGTTGATCTCAGTGATGATTTTGTTACGACGAAGCCCGGCCAGCAGCGCCTGGCAACATGTGCCGTGCTACGCAGCACGAACTCTGATTCCAACCTGCATCAATGGAGGACCTAAATCACAGAAGTGGACTATTTGTGCTGCCCATGGACACTGAGATTCGGGACGTGTGCGCCTTGCAGCCCTCGGTCTCTATGCCATTAAACCCTAGAGTGATCTTCTTCAAGGTGCAGTTGTGCCGGAGCACCTCACCCAAGGCCTCACGCAGTGCAGGACATTAAACAAAACACATGGCCGAAACAGGTCGCTTCTCCGGCCTTCGCCAGGCAATTTCCAGTCCCTTGATTCTCTTCCCCGCCCCTATAGTTGTCGCCATGCATGATGCAAAGCTCTTCGAGGCAAGTTGAAGCACCCAGCACCTGCACCAGCGAAGCCACCAGCTCGGGAGTACCTTCCCAGTTTTTAAGCTTGAAGGACCGGAGATCCTGAGCCAACAAAGGGAAAAAAGGACCATCGCTGTACGGAAAGAGGACAAATCTTCACTAGTTACTTTAGATGATGTTTTATTGATAGCCTTTAAACGGTCCTGTCTGTTTGCCACTTTCACTTGTTATGAAACCACTTATTAGCAGGAAGTTTTGGTGAGAAAGTTTAGGAAAAGCCACAAACATGACGTGACTGTATGACGTGTCATTGGCTGGCTGGATCGCACAATGTCAGAGCCTGAAACGCAATTGGTTCGGGTTGCTTATGTTCGGTGGCAGGGCGACCACTCTCGTCAACATTCTCTGTGAAACTTGTTATCCTGGCCCTGAAGATGATCTGTTTGATTTGTTGGTCATTGCAGGTTCTTTGTGACCTTTTTCACTTCTGGAACAGACTCAAACACTAGCTTTGCTGCTGGCACCTTCAATTAAAGGCTATACCGGGCTATACACTAATATATATATATGTATTAGTCTGAGAACAGCATCGTCGGAAGGCCAAGTCTCCTTGTAGTGCTCTAAAGACTCCACCAACTTCTCCAGGTCCTCTTCTAGCAAGTTCTCAAAGAACACCTCCTTGCAACATGTGACCCTTTCAAAGAAGACCTTCTTCTGCAGTTCAACAACCGTTTCTGCATCATTGCGGTGGGTGAAGGCCGATGTTCGCATCTGCTCAGCAAAGGCTTCAGGGGTCAACGGCACCTTGCCCGAACTGCTCTTGCCGGCGAAACCATAGATGCGTTGGTTCTGCGCAGCGATGCCACGTACCGCAGACCACTGCACCTCCGCAAAGCACCATCCCCGCTGAAGATATGGTGTGCGATTGTGCATCAACTCTTTGAGCGGTAAGGCTTGGAGCGAACCACTGGGCACGTGATATACGGGAACCTTTTTGCTCTCATCTTGCAGCATCGCATTCCAAATATGTGGTGGAGTCAAGCCTTCGATGCGCAAGGTCAAGCTGCAGTCATGAGCATACATGACATGCATGTTTCCCATGGCACGTGCGAAGCTCTCTCTTTGCGCATCCGTTTCCCGCTCGAACTGGTAAAGTGAGGTGTAGTCGTAGAACACCCAGATCTCAGAAAAGTATGCGGCCTCATACAACGAGATCGTATCTACAAGATGCCCAAGCTGAAAACAGCAGGGATCGGGATGTTCGCGGGTCTCCCAAGCATGGGAGACCGAACATATGATTGCATCCTTGCTGCCGGCAGCCCACTTACGGACTTCACTGTGGGTTACCAGTGCTGACATCTGCACCGAGTCCTTTTCGCACACTTCACCTTCAGCTTCCTGCCGTCTAGGAAGAGGAATATTGTGTCTGCGAAGGTGGAACAAGTACCTGCGGCTCGTTCCAGCATGGTGATCCAAACAGTACTGTATATGGATTGATCTTTGTGCCAATTTCCAAGAAGATTGGACAGGTAACAAGAAAAAAGGAACAACCCAACGAAACGAACAAGTAACGAAACGAATACAGGTGTGGTCACGGCGCCCGGATCAGGCGGATGTCAGCATCTTGCAGAAATGCCGCCAGTGATGCTTTGTCGCTGAGTTTGTATCTGGCCTGGCTTTAACAGCAGCTGTTTGTTCAAACTGTGAAACAACCCACGAGCAACACTGTGAAACATCAAGCACAATCCTGTGTGACGTTCCGATGCAACACTTTTGCCACATGAACATCTTTAGATGTCTTTGCACAGTGTATGCCCAGAATCGTTCCTGCCAAAGCCTGCGTCCCTATGCGAGGTTGTTCAAAGCTTGCATTTAGACCTGGTTGAAAAATAGATAAATCATTGAAACTCTTGGTAAACGGTCCTGTTGCTGGATGATCAGCGAACATGCTGCAAATGTGCAGTATGTTTTCTTTTTTTTCCGATCAAACAGACTTTCAACACGTTGATGGAAAACCATGGAAAAACAAATACTCATCACATCTCCCCATTAGATGATCATCTGTTGCTTCCATCAGACAAAAATGCAGCACTGCAACCTCAAACAAACATTCATGTCTCAAGAAGCAACTCAACGACGCTAGACATATTAGGTTCTGTTCTGTAGATGTTGCAATCCCTTCAAAACATATTTCCAGTCTAAACACTTTTGAGTGAGACACAACCTTCAGAGACATCAGTGGTTAAACTTCGCCCATTTAATGAAACTGGTGCTTTCTGAATCTTGCCTATACACTCCACCTTCAGTGAGACACGCAAATCCCCACACCTCCTCCACTTGAGCTTTCTCCTGCGCATTCAGATGCATGCAGCACAAGTGAACACATGTCGCGGTGTTTAAA